GTAGCTGAGCTGATTGGCCTCTTTTTCAGTAAGCTGAATAGAGGGTCACATTGCATGAGCGAGATGCATTCGCCGCTCAGTTGATTGGGCGTTCGACAAATATCAGCCAGTTCTATGAGCCGAAATATTAGGGCAAACTAAGCTGAGAAGAGTAAATACTCACGTCCGTAGCTAATGTTAATTCCTATAAGTAAGACCACAATAAAACAAACACTCTTCATGGCACCGGAATGCAATACTTAACACGTAGACAAAACGAGGATGCGTTTACATCATATACAATTGAAATAAGCACTATTCAAGACAATGAAAACCGTTTGTTTAATTATTAAAGTTGATGTTGACTATTGCAATTTGTTCGTATCGAAAATAGTGGTTTGACTTCGATGTTGGATTCGAATGGTTGCTGTTTGTTATTGCCTGCATTGACCCATGGCGATCTTTCACTGTGTTCAATGATATCACGAAGACAAACAGTACAGACTACTACAGTATTTAGTTTAATCCTTGACAACCTTGGACTTTCCCAGTTAGGCAAATTCAAGCCGGCTCGTCTAGTTAATCTTGAGTTGGATAAATTATTGTTTAGCCGACCGTCCACTAATAAATAAGTAGGGGATATGCGAAAAAGTTGGCCACCACCAGTAATTTACGGATTTTCATTGCCACTAACTGTTTGATTTTGTTCGGTTGCTTTTCACCCGATGCCGGAAAAAGTCCCAGAACCAAAAGCACTTCCTCTGATAATGTGGGTTTCTTATCAACTTAAAATTTGCTGTTTAGCCCCAAAAATTTGATATTCTTACAAGAGTTAGAACACAGTTGCCTTCTTCAATAACGAAGCGCTCATCGGCATTCACGTCAAGTCACCAGCTAAAGTAACTTCTTCAACCTTTTTTATTACCGGGTTTTTACTTGATAATTTGTTATTTCCCATAATTTTCCGCAATTTGCGTCACCGTTGCACTATTTTATTATTTGTAATGCCTGGATGAATTTCCTGAAAATTTGAAACATTTGTTGCCTTATCAAGTGCAGTTGGCAGGTAATAAATGCCAATTATCCAACGAAAGAATTAATAAAACATATTTGAAGTAATATTTACAATATTTCCCATTACGTGTTGTCTTGACGTAGTTCTAACTAAAAAAGAATTGTGAATATTGTTCAGCTGTATAACAAGTGTTTGTGGTCTCAAACTGCTATTTTACAGTATACCGGGTGTCCCAAACTGAAGCATAATTTCACCAGCGTGTGTAGGTTTACAAATCGGATAAACTTCAGGAAAACGCAGCGTCTCAGCCTTTCAAAAACGGTAAATTTTACCGTTGGTGAAATAGAGAATAAAATGTCACTTGTGGGTCACTTTTTTTCAAGATTTAGTACCGTAGATTTTGGAATTGAAGGAGATTATTTTGCTTCTAGCTTCAACGCAACTGAAGAAAATGGCGATTTGAAAGCAGATCACGAAAGGTCAATGATTTGTGGCGCAAAAAAAGTCACTTTTAGTCAAAAACTCTAATGTGAGTCGGTTTAGAGTCAAAATGATAAAACACACGAGTAAAAAATTAAGAATAAGAGTTGTTGAAAACTTACTTTTATAATATTACTAACTCATAAGAGAAGGTTTGAAATAAATCAATCGCGAGCAAAATACTGAAAATATCGAAAACCGGAAAAAATATACTTGGCATGGATTTTTAAGACGCATTGGTTGGAAAACGGTGTCATACACTTTTCATGCTATTTGTGAATGTACGCTGGAAAAGTTTTCCACTTAAGTTTGGGCCGCCCTGTATATGAATTTGTAATAGGACATTTTTGCACAACTTGTATATTTTTCAAACAAAGGCGTCGATCATTAAAGCTTTTAACATACATTTACATTTTTCATGTGTTGGTTTAAAAAAATTAAAGAGATCGCAAAAGTGTGAATTTAATGTTTAAAAGAATAGCTTTTAGTATAAAGATCCACATTGCTTTATCTGAAGTGCCAACTTTTTTAGGATTGGAAACTTAAAGAAATATTTAAAATGTTTTAAAACGGCAAGTGCTATGTAGTTTAAAGATAATGCTAATTACTACTCGACGTGGGTCAAAATCGCGTTTTTTGTGTAAAACCGCACTATTTTGCCCACAAAAATGGCTAAATCCCGAAGTATTCCGAATTTTCAGCTAAACATTTTTTTAAATATTTAAATCATTAATTTGATTATACAAAAAAAAAATGAAGGCGCAAAATTATATAGATATTATGTTTTCAGATGATACCCTAAAATTTGAATTTTTAAGGGCAGGACCGAGGCGCTACAAGCGCTGAATGAGGCAAAAAATGCGAACGAATCAATGGTTTAAAATAAATAATTAATAAAAATGAATCTGGACAGTTTTTTGGAATTTTAGACTCGTGGGAATGAGTTTTTTCTTAACGTTTCTCAAGCACTTGAATTTTCCTTGAACCATCCCGTTTTATACAACAGCCGCGAAAGCTTAACCCTTTTGATAATAAAGATGAATTTTTGAGGTAATAAAAAGCTCAAAATCAGTATTGCTATTTTGACAACTTCTTACCACAAGAAAATGAAAACCGAAATTAAACAAACGCTTAAATCAAGATACCAAATACCTTCATGTTTCCGAATTTTATTCCAAAACTGGGAGGCAAAGAACATACACAAACAGACGTTGTTGGGAAGTTTGATGATTTATTTTTTTATATTTTTATTTATTTATTTATTTAAGCTATTCTTCGGATTGTATTGTTATAGGTAGAGAGTAACAAAACTTCTAAATGGAATTTTCAACATGAACAGGCCACAAGAGACTTTCAAAGCTTTTGTAGCCAGATCTTATATCGAAGATTCGGAATAGGAATATGAAGCAGATAATAACTGATTTTAAAAACTTCCTTTCATAAATTCGTCCAGCGTTTAGCATTGGACTGCTTAGTGCAAATTGAGTTCTATTTAAAACGTTATTTAGTGCAACTCGTTTTCGGTTAGTGCGTGGTTTTACAAAAAATTAGTGCGCCAGGTAAAGTTTCTACAGGGTGGCAAATAAAACAATGCAAAATTGGTGAAAAACTTTTCTTGAGCACAACAAGCATTAAGATGCACCTTATATCTCGTTTTATAATTTTTGTTTCATCTCGTTTCTGTACCGAGTGGTCTTAAAAAGGCAACTTTTTGATCTTGCAGTGATCACTTTATTCTGTTGTACTAATTTTCAAAATCTATGGTTTATGTTGAAGCTAAAATTTCACAGTGGACCGGAAAATAATAAATCGATTCTCCGGGTGGCATAAATAAACGAAATATTTGAAAATATTCCAGAATCACAGATTTCGATGGCAATTATCATTTGGGTAATTTGATGTGCAAATTTGTATATCGAAACTTCGTATGGAATCGAATTTATTGCTGCGAAATAAAAAAAGTTGATTTTTGGGACCACCCTGTAAATAGAACAAGAACAGATGGCTGGAAAATTTAAAAACCTTTTCGAGCTATTTGGTTTACCAGTTTAGCATTTTTTGTATGCCACCCTGTATAAAATTTATCTGAGATGCTTAATTTATACCAAAACATTGACTAACAAAACACAAATGGGACTCAATATAGCTTTAAACAGATTCCAAATCGCTATAAACATTCAGAATTGATCCAGTTCCAAAGTTGGGGCAAATTTCGCTGTTACTGTTTAAGTTCCTAATCGAATCGATAAATTCTTGCGAGCTTTTTGAGGTAAAAGCTGTTTCTGAAGAGCATGAGAGGGACGTGCACTGAAAGATAAAGCGAGTGTATGTTATTTAAACAGCTCAACACATTCAAGCTCTCTTAGCCAACACTTTGAATAGGCAGATCCTAAAGTTTATTTAGATTATGTTAAACATTCATTGCCTACTGCCTAATCCAAAGGTTCCATATGATCCAAAATCCAGTTCATGTAATGAGTGACGTTGGTGTATATGGCAGCACTCACTCCACACCACTTCATCCCATATGAGACTATCCCGAACAAGAAGTACTTTGGAGGAGCGTCAAGAACAATCGGCTTCATCAGCGGCCCACCAGAATCTCCCACACAAGAATCCTTGCCTTCTCCTAAAACTCAACAGTCTGAGCTAGAAGAGCTTCAATTGCATGAAACTTACCAATCCCCACACATATTTGCGATTCGTCAATTTGATTGTTCGGGAAGTTCTTTTTGCATACATTTAGATTGACGACAGGCATGTGAACATACATGAGCTTGTTGGGGATTCGGTTCACTTCAGCTGTAGTGGTTCCCCAGCCGGCCACTTCCACTGAGGTACCATGCGTGAGATGGTAGTCGTTTATTCGGTTCACTACATCGCCTCTTGGTAAGCATATGGGAATCACAAAGTCTGGAATTGAAAAGATGGATGATGATTTGGAAGATTGTCTGAAAAATGGTCTTGCTGAAGGAGTTTTTCGGGACAATGCTAGGGGTGGATTGGTCGAGATTAAAAGAGGAAAACTGCTTAAGTGTACAGCGTGTCACATTTTCGACGCTTTCATAGGGCTGTTATCTCCGTAATGGTTTTTGTGGTATAAAAACTTGTTAGATGTCATGTGCTCGTTTCACGTTAAATTTCAAATAATAAAATAAAAATTAATTTAAAAAAATTTCTATTGAGGATCGTCCTCTTCAGGAAAAAATTATTTGGTTAAATAAATGTCGAGTTACAAGTTGCCTCTTAATCGACATAATTAAATACATTGGAACTACACAAATTCCCACATGGTACGACCTGTTCACCAACTCTCATTTTGGACTAAATATACAATAATAAATACACAATAAAATAAACGGCTGTTTTGCAGGAAATTTAAATGTAGGCATATTCGGACATTCCCCAATCAAATTCGATTATGAGAGTATTTGGATACTCACTTAGAAACTGTGGTGGCCACCACGATAACCGGATTTTACACCTCCAGATTTTTCTCTATATATTGGAAAATAAAATTTATAAAGAAGTCATTTTAATCCGAGAACAACTTGCTCAAAGAATTAATGAAGCCATTGCAGAAATAACACTTTTCCACATTATGAAAGGCTTAAAATCCCTGCGAAAAAGATGTAAGGAGTGCAATTTTTCCGATGATTTCAGTTATTGCTATCCTTAATCCGTATTTTTAATTTCGATTCAAATTTTATATAGTTGTTTAATTTCCTTTTGGCGCCACCCATTTTTTACTCTTTGTCTATTAAAATATATTCTAGCTAGAATATCACTGTCCTACGAAACCAATACCATCCATGGTGTGTTTGGTTTATTATTGAAAGCAGACCTTAAAATGCTACTGTTTTGGACTAAAATATACAGAGGTTTTATGTTAAAAAATGTGCTTTTTTACCTAACCCCGTATACTTATTCTAAAAATGACGGATTATTCAACAATCATTATACAGAAAATTTTACATAAAACAATGCTCAGTTTCTCTTTTAACTAAGGAAAAATATAATTTTGAAATTGACAATTTTGTGATTTTCCCAGTATCTTAAGCGGTCAAAAATTTTCAAATTTATGCAAGAGCACATGATACCTATACTACTTTTTTGAGTGGGACAGCCTGTACTTCAAAACTGGCCTACTAAATAATGGTTTTTTGAAAAATTCTTATTTGGGGTAGAATATCAATATCATAATTCTCATAAGCAATGAAAACCAATGTTGTGAAGTGAAGTTGAGCAGTTTTGTGGCAAAACTCACCTAATGAACTTTCGCATTCATATACCAGTATGGATGCTTTGGAAGCTCAATAAAAAAATGACGGCGATTTTGAATCACCCCGTATAAAATATTGCGAATAATGCTACTTCATTGAAGACATTTTTTATCGCCTTCTTAGAAACTGAAGGATATAGGGAAATCCTAAAGCGACCTGTAATTCATGTTCACCTTCACTTCAGGTGAGTCGCCGTTTTGGAAAATTTAAATAGTTTCTGTTTTAACACATACAGTTATTATTTTAATAGTATAAAATGTATTAACTTTGTACGTCTGGTTAAAAGTTAAGAGTCCCGCTGTAAAAGCCAATTGCAGTTATATAAGATGCGATTAACAATTTGCGTTCTTTGAAGATTTCCTAAATCAATTCATCTAATCCAAAATCTAAATTTTGCTTTTGGGTAATTTTTTGCATGCAAATATATTGGTTCAAATGAACTATAAATTGAACCCCCATAATTATTGAATCTGTGATGAACAGATCGACCAAGAGTGGGTTTCAGCACTCAAAAATGTTAATATACGTGGTCTTAAACTCTAGAATCTGGAAAACGTCCAGATTTGGTTATAAGTAGATTTTATTAATTAGTTGCTACCAACATCGCCTGATCTTCTCTGTTCACTGTTCAATTAAAAGAGCAAAATCGGGAGCAAGTAAACTGGAAGCTGGAAATATTGCATTTTGGAGCAGCAATTACTGCAAATAACTTAAGCAAATAGATTCCTTTTACTCATTGCTATAATTTGCTGTATTTTACTAACTTCTTACCATGAAATTCGGCTGGTCGAGCCAACTTAATCAGTCCAATATCCCCGTATGTTATGGAACGTTCACCTTCGTACTCCTCAAATCGTATTAGCCGCTGCACGTCGATATCCTGAACTGGAGGTGCGCAAATTTCGTTTTCACAATCACTCTGCTCCTTCAAGAAGTTTTCGCCCAGTCTTACTTGCTTTCTGAAAAATGCCGGGAAATTAATAAATCGCCTTTATTCACTGGACATATTACTAAAACTTACAAAGTATCTCCTAACAAGTCCAAGAAACAGTGGTTGGCAGTTACAACATACCATCGGTTAATGAGAGATCCGGCGCAAAGATAAAATATTTTTGGCTTGTTTTTCTTAATCTGGTATCCAAGTCTGGCGATCCAAGGAAATTGGCCTAAAGTCGCTTCTTTTCCTCCGATTATCCGGTCCGACATTGCGCCATAACCGCATTCTTCCGTTGGAAGAACTTGCCAGTTGGGATGGTCATCTGAGTGTCTATTAGTCCCTTCTTGCAATAATGGACATTAAAAAAATCGTTTGGAAAGAGAGAGTAGACCGTAAGCGTTCCTAACATGATGGGTAGATGATCTAACATCACTTTTAAGTAACACTCTTTTATTTTTCTCTCTCATTTTTTATAACTTTTAGCCGAAAGCGTTGGCACAAATCGAACACAAACCTTGATCAAATAGACATTCATAGAGACCATATCCAAAATCGTTATCGATGATTAGATTGATTTTCTATAGCAATTTCCAAAATAATCAAAGTTTATTTTATACGAGCAAAGCCAGTGCTTTGTAATATTTTATGTGACTAGAAAACGACTTGCTCAAAAGATACCTACTTCTATTTTAGGTCGAGCCATCAAATCAATCGAACATATTTGTTCAACTGTTGGCTTTATTCAAAATATTTTTCTTTCTTCCGTAGAAACTTCCTCGAGAGTTTTTTTATGTAAAATAACAGTGAAGACGAAATAACGTACAGGTTTTGGGAGTAATATTTTCAGCGCAAACACAACTAGGGGTGCCTGATATTAGCACTGGCTTACTCAGAATCCTTTGACGACTCGAATGATTCCGAAAGATTTATTCGTCATCAATCACTGTATAGAAACAACACAAATTATCATTGACTGACTTCAGCACCCATTTTTTTGGATTTTTCCGCAAAAAGCGTTTGGATAAGAAAACGAAGAATTTCGAATATAAAAATATATAAGTAAAATAAAATATAAAAATTTGCTAAATGAAGTGAATGTTAAGACGAAAAATCTAATTTGTATGCACATTGAACTCTACTGAAAATTAAGAAAATAATCTTCTGATTAAATTCTATTAGTTTTTTTTTCGGTGACGCGTATTTGTCTATTACGCGAAAATCTATTAATTTGCATTCTTTTAGCAGGAAAAGAACGCGCTTTAGATAAATAACTGTGCAGATGTCATGTGCTCGTTTCACGTTAAATTTCAAATAATAAAATAAAAATTAATTTAAAAAAATTTCTATTGAGGATCGTCCTCTTCAGGAAAAAATTATTTGGTTAAATAAATGTCGAGTTACAAGTTGCCTCTTAATCGACATAATTAAATACATTGGAACTACACAAATTCCCAGTAGCTGAGCTGATTGGCCTCTTTTTCAGTAAGCTGAATAGAGGGTCACATTGCATGAGCGAGATGCATTCGCCGCTCAGTTGATTGGGCGTTCGACAAATATCAGCCAGTTCTATGAGCCGAAATATTAGGGCAAACTAAGCTGAGAAGAGTAAATACTCACGTCCGTAGCTAATGTTAATTCCTATAAGTAAGACCACAATAAAACAAACACTCTTCATGGCACCGGAATGCAATACTTAACACGTAGACAAAACGAGGATGCGTTTACATCATATACAATTGAAATAAGCACTATTCAAGACAATGAAAACCGTTTGTTTAATTATTAAAGTTGATGTTGACTATTGCAATTTGTTCGTATCGAAAATAGTGGTTTGACTTCGATGTTGGATTCGAATGGTTGCTGTTTGTTATTGCCTGCATTGACCCATGGCGATCTTTCACTGTGTTCAATGATATCACGAAGACAAACAGTACAGACTACTACAGTATTTAGTTTAATCCTTGACAACCTTGGACTTTCCCAGTTAGGCAAATTCAAGCCGGCTCGTCTAGTTAATCTTGAGTTGGATAAATTATTGTTTAGCCGACCGTCCACTAATAAATAAGTAGGGGATATGCGAAAAAGTTGGCCACCACCAGTAATTTACGGATTTTCATTGCCACTAACTGTTTGATTTTGTTCGGTTGCTTTTCACCCGATGCCGGAAAAAGTCCCAGAACCAAAAGCACTTCCTCTGATAATGTGGGTTTCTTATCAACTTAAAATTTGCTGTTTAGCCCCAAAAATTTGATATTCTTACAAGAGTTAGAACACAGTTGCCTTCTTCAATAACGAAGCGCTCATCGGCATTCACGTCAAGTCACCAGCTAAAGTAACTTCTTCAACCTTTTTTATTACCGGGTTTTTACTTGATAATTTGTTATTTCCCATAATTTTCCGCAATTTGCGTCACCGTTGCACTATTTTATTATTTGTAATGCCTGGATGAATTTCCTGAAAATTTGAAACATTTGTTGCCTTATCAAGTGCAGTTGGCAGGTAATAAATGCCAATTATCCAACGAAAGAATTAATAAAACATATTTGAAGTAATATTTACAATATTTCCCATTACGTGTTGTCTTGACGTAGTTCTAACTAAAAAAGAATTGTGAATATTGTTCAGCTGTATAACAAGTGTTTGTGGTCTCAAACTGCTATTTTACAGTATACCGGGTGTCCCAAACTGAAGCATAATTTCACCAGCGTGTGTAGGTTTACAAATCGGATAAACTTCAGGAAAACGCAGCGTCTCAGCCTTTCAAAAACGGTAAATTTTACCGTTGGTGAAATAGAGAATAAAATGTCACTTGTGGGTCACTTTTTTTCAAGATTTAGTACCGTAGATTTTGGAATTGAAGGAGATTATTTTGCTTCTAGCTTCAACGCAACTGAAGAAAATGGCGATTTGAAAGCAGATCACGAAAGGTCAATGATTTGTGGCGCAAAAAAAGTCACTTTTAGTCAAAAACTCTAATGTGAGTCGGTTTAGAGTCAAAATGATAAAACACACGAGTAAAAAATTAAGAATAAGAGTTGTTGAAAACTTACTTTTATAATATTACTAACTCATAAGAGAAGGTTTGAAATAAATCAATCGCGAGCAAAATACTGAAAATATCGAAAACCGGAAAAAATATACTTGGCATGGATTTTTAAGACGCATTGGTTGGAAAACGGTGTCATACACTTTTCATGCTATTTGTGAATGTACGCTGGAAAAGTTTTCCACTTAAGTTTGGGCCGCCCTGTATATGAATTTGTAATAGGACATTTTTGCACAACTTGTATATTTTTCAAACAAAGGCGTCGATCATTAAAGCTTTTAACATACATTTACATTTTTCATGTGTTGGTTTAAAAAAATTAAAGAGATCGCAAAAGTGTGAATTTAATGTTTAAAAGAATAGCTTTTAGTATAAAGATCCACATTGCTTTATCTGAAGTGCCAACTTTTTTAGGATTGGAAACTTAAAGAAATATTTAAAATGTTTTAAAACGGCAAGTGCTATGTAGTTTAAAGATAATGCTAATTACTACTCGACGTGGGTCAAAATCGCGTTTTTTGTGTAAAACCGCACTATTTTGCCCACAAAAATGGCTAAATCCCGAAGTATTCCGAATTTTCAGCTAAACATTTTTTTAAATATTTAAATCATTAATTTGATTATACAAAAAAAAAATGAAGGCGCAAAATTATATAGATATTATGTTTTCAGATGATACCCTAAAATTTGAATTTTTAAGGGCAGGACCGAGGCGCTACAAGCGCTGAATGAGGCAAAAAATGCGAACGAATCAATGGTTTAAAATAAATAATTAATAAAAATGAATCTGGACAGTTTTTTGGAATTTTAGACTCGTGGGAATGAGTTTTTTCTTAACGTTTCTCAAGCACTTGAATTTTCCTTGAACCATCCCGTTTTATACAACAGCCGCGAAAGCTTAACCCTTTTGATAATAAAGATGAATTTTTGAGGTAATAAAAAGCTCAAAATCAGTATTGCTATTTTGACAACTTCTTACCACAAGAAAATGAAAACCGAAATTAAACAAACGCTTAAATCAAGATACCAAATACCTTCATGTTTCCGAATTTTATTCCAAAACTGGGAGGCAAAGAACATACACAAACAGACGTTGTTGGGAAGTTTGATGATTTATTTTTTTATATTTTTATTTATTTATTTATTTAAGCTATTCTTCGGATTGTATTGTTATAGGTAGAGAGTAACAAAACTTCTAAATGGAATTTTCAACATGAACAGGCCACAAGAGACTTTCAAAGCTTTTGTAGCCAGATCTTATATCGAAGATTCGGAATAGGAATATGAAGCAGATAATAACTGATTTTAAAAACTTCCTTTCATAAATTCGTCCAGCGTTTAGCATTGGACTGCTTAGTGCAAATTGAGTTCTATTTAAAACGTTATTTAGTGCAACTCGTTTTCGGTTAGTGCGTGGTTTTACAAAAAATTAGTGCGCCAGGTAAAGTTTCTACAGGGTGGCAAATAAAACAATGCAAAATTGGTGAAAAACTTTTCTTGAGCACAACAAGCATTAAGATGCACCTTATATCTCGTTTTATAATTTTTGTTTCATCTCGTTTCTGTACCGAGTGGTCTTAAAAAGGCAACTTTTTGATCTTGCAGTGATCACTTTATTCTGTTGTACTAATTTTCAAAATCTATGGTTTATGTTGAAGCTAAAATTTCACAGTGGACCGGAAAATAATAAATCGATTCTCCGGGTGGCATAAATAAACGAAATATTTGAAAATATTCCAGAATCACAGATTTCGATGGCAATTATCATTTGGGTAATTTGATGTGCAAATTTGTATATCGAAACTTCGTATGGAATCGAATTTATTGCTGCGAAATAAAAAAAGTTGATTTTTGGGACCACCCTGTAAATAGAACAAGAACAGATGGCTGGAAAATTTAAAAACCTTTTCGAGCTATTTGGTTTACCAGTTTAGCATTTTTTGTATGCCACCCTGTATAAAATTTATCTGAGATGCTTAATTTATACCAAAACATTGACTAACAAAACACAAATGGGACTCAATATAGCTTTAAACAGATTCCAAATCGCTATAAACATTCAGAATTGATCCAGTTCCAAAGTTGGGGCAAATTTCGCTGTTACTGTTTAAGTTCCTAATCGAATCGATAAATTCTTGCGAGCTTTTTGAGGTAAAAGCTGTTTCTGAAGAGCATGAGAGGGACGTGCACTGAAAGATAAAGCGAGTGTATGTTATTTAAACAGCTCAACACATTCAAGCTCTCTTAGCCAACACTTTGAATAGGCAGATCCTAAAGTTTATTTAGATTATGTTAAA